GCTGCAGCGGCAGATGCGCCAGTTCCAGCAACAGATGTACCTACCGCAGCGCCACCAGACGAAGCAGCAGCGGCGGATTGGCGAGTTCCAGCAACAGATGCACCTGCTGCAGCAGCGGCAGCAACGGCAGCAGTGGCAGCCCAAGTATGGACAACACCGGCAACAGCAACAGGACCATTTCCAGCAGAAGCAGGAACAGCATGATCTGTACCAAGAGCGTCAGCACATGTTTTGGGGGCAACAGTGGCAGCATTATTTGCTCCAACCGCTGCAGCAGCCGGCAATTCAAGAGCAGGTGCAGCAGCAAGCGCAGCAGCACTTGATGCAACAACAGGCGCAGCAGCAGCTGTTCGATGTGCCAGAGCCGGAGCATGTAACACGCGATCATGAACAGCATCAGAACATGCGACAGGACGAGCAGCAGGGGTCGTTGAAGGAGATGCATAAACAGCAGCGCGATCAGCGTAAGCCGTGTCGAGAACAGCAAGAGGAACTGGAGCCACACCCGGAAGAGCAGCGCCAGCTGTTGCAGCATGCGGATCCGCTCTCAGAAGAGTTGATGGTAGACGAATGGATTGAACCGGAGTCGCCGAGCTCTGAGGTGCCTCAGCCCAGCATCTCTCAACAGGCATTGCAGCCTCCTTCTGCTCCAGCAGCTTCAGGTCCCTCGATATCCGAATATTTCCGCAAGCAGGTGACTCCTGGTTTCATACTGGCTGCTCGTGACGCATCACGTGCTGCTTCTTCACAAGCGTCAAGAGATGAAGATGCTGCACCTTTTGCAGCAGGAGCTGCAGTAGCAAGCGCACCAGGCACCTCGCCCAGTGCTGGGATGTCCTCTGCTGCATCGGCGAAAAACGTAGGCGTCACCCGCTCGGAAACACCGACACTGAGTAGTTTGTTGGTTCGCCAGAGAAGTGAAGGTGTAATAACAGCCTCAGCTGCTAGACGAGCAGCAGCAACTGCTATAAGAGCAGCGGCAGCTGGCGGAACAGCAGCAGGAGCTAGTGGAACAGTAGCAGAAGCTGGTGAAGCGGAAACAACAGTTGCTGGAACAGGAGCAGCAGCCGCAGGAAAAGGGGCAAAAGCTGCTGAAGCAGGAGCTTCAGCAATTTCTCATTTGCTGGAAACGCCACCGGCTACTATGCTGGAACACCCGTTCGTGCGTCTGCCCAAGCCAGTGCTACAGACGTCTACGAGTTCAATTTCCGTTGACTTGGCGTATGCAGTGTCCCATCCGCATAGCATGCGGAGCATCG